CTTCTAAAAAAAGCCTTTTCAAAACCTTTAGTTATGCGTTTTATTTTTGTTCTATTTTTCCATGGAAATGAATAGGAGAAGCCTAGGGTAGCTTGGGCTGGTCTCTGGAGAGCATCTACTCCAACCTCCTGCTCAGAGTGACACAGTTTGAGTAGACTGCTCAGGACAGTGTCCAGCCAAGGGYAGAGCATGCCCAAGGATGCACATTGTGCGGCCACGCTGGGCAGTCTCACCCAATACTTGAGCACCCTTCAGGGTGAAAAGACTTCCMAGCCATTACGTTTGGTGTCTGTTGYATCTTGTCCTCTCCCCAYGCGCCTTTTAGAAGTGAATGGCACCATCTTCTCGCAGGAGGCAGTTGTAGGCAGCAGTAAACTGCCCCCTGAACATTTTCTCCAGGCTGGGTAGCACTCTTGACCTCAGCCTCTTCTGTGGGAGTGACTGAGCGCTCCTGTCCCTAACCGCCTTTGTGGTCTTCCAGTGGTCTCTCTCGGGGGAGCAGCAGGTTGGCTCCAATACTCCATGCAAGGTCTCCCAAGGGCCAAAGAGAGGGAAGCATCGTGTCCCAACCACCTGGCCTCCCTTTGTCGGTACAGCCCAACATGCAGTCGGTCTCCTTTGCTGCAGGGGCACCTGCCGAGCTGTGTCCAGCTTCCCATCCGTGGGGAGCCTTGTGACATTTTTCCGGAGCTGCTTCCTGGCCATTGGCCCCCAGCCTGTCCTGTTGAATGGAGTGGCTCCGTCTCGGGTGCCGGACTTGGCAGCTGCTCTTGTTGGACTTCAAGGAGTTCCTGTGAGGCCCGTGCTCYGGCCTTGCAACGGGCAGCAACGTGCTCAGCCCTGCGGGACTGATACACTAGCAGGAAACAYGTTCCTCATTCGCCTTCCTTTTGCATGCTGCACTTTTAAGATATGAACCATGTAAACAGAAATACATATCTGTTACRGTTTTCTAAATGCTGCTAGCTTCTTAGTTTGGTTTCATGAGAGCACAGGGCCAATATCTGCATAAATACCCATGTGATCCCCCAAAGAAAGCATTCTTCTGACATAAAGTATTCTCAGCATAAAGTATTCTCAGCAGACATTTGGGAGGTCTTGCCCATTAATTTTTTTTTTAAACATCATTTATAAACAGTGTGTCTATAAAGAGAAAAAAAAAGTATTTAAAATACAGAAAATTGATTATGAGGTATCCTTATCTATTAGGAAAGATTGTAGTAAACTTTATCTAGGATATGTTCTGTCAAAGATAATTTGCCTAGACCTTGAAATAACTCTTTTATGTAATCTATTTCAATAGAAAATTGATTGAGGAGCTTGTATTTAAATTTATTAGCCTAGGTGTCATTAACATGTAATTTATGACTGGCATCGTTGTAGATGTAACCATAGTACTCTATAAAAACATTTCAGCAGAGTACCTGGCTGGAACATTTGCCAAATGGGAAAAGAAAGAAGGCTGATTGCGCAGCACATTTTTTTAAAGCCTGGATTTCTTAGCAAATTACATTCAGATATTGACTTTGAAGTTATCTAAGCTTTACTTATAGTATCAACATAAGGTAACAAGAAAATATATTTTAGTAAATTAGTATTATTTTCTTTTAAAATCAGCCCTTTCTATTCCTCGTGCGTATTTTTAGTTTGCTACTGTTGTGACTTGCAGTCACTCTCACTAATATTAAAATGAACGGGCACTTTATCAACTACCATATTATAATTCTAGTTAGTAGCACATTTAGAATACAGCTCYCTTCCTATCTCCAATATAGTTTTTACTTTAGCTTTAAACCGTTTGTCATCTGGTGCGAGCTGGATTTATTAGAGGCAGTAGTTTTAGTGCCCGTTGGCTGGGGGTTGGCCATGACATCACTGCAGCCTATATACAGAATGTGATTTCAGTTGGTTCCAGCGTTAAATATTTTCATAATTATGCTAGTTTTGGCAGTTCCCTTGGAACTTTTTCACATCTCTTTAATGAACATGTTTTACTTCTGGACTTAGGAGACAGCCACATGTTTGAGAAATTAATAGCCTGCACTTAAAGTTAACGTTAAGCAGAATGGTGCAGATATAGAAAGCTCGTGGTTATAAATCTAACTAGGAATGTAGTTCCTGTAAGGTCATGGCCACTGCTATCATCTTATGGTGATTTACAAAAGTAATGTTTGTTTTATGAAATATCAATAGCTGTTGTGAAAAACAGTGTGTGCTCATGTTCATACAAACCWTAAGTGTTTAGATCATAAACATTTTGGTACTTGCATAGTGTAAGCAAATTAGTGCATTTTATCCCAAATTAAATAAACTTTTTCAAATGTCTTGTCGGGTTGAATTCTTATTAAACATAGGTATACATTATTACTTCATTTAGATTAGCTCATATATGTGTATTTCTGAGGTAAAATTTTGTGTTGCATTTTGGCACCACCTTGGAGCATTCACATTTTTATTTCAATTATTTTCCATATACGGAAGCTCTGGGAGTGTGGTCTAGATGGGTGCACAGTGAGGTGGATCGAGGGCTGGCTGGATGGCAGAGCTCAGAGGGTGGTGATAAATGGGGCCGAGTCCAGTTGGAGGCCTGTGGCCAGTGGTGTCCCCCAGGGGTCAGTGCTGGGCCCAGTGCTGTTCAACTTGTTCATCAATGACCTGGACGAGGGCACKGAGKGCACCCTGAGCAAGTTTGCAGATGACACCAAGCTGGGTGGAGTGGCCGACACTCCGGAGGGCTGTGCTGCCATCCAGAGGGACCTGGACTGGCTGGAGAGTTGGGCAGAGAGGAGCCTCATGAGGTTCAATAAGGACAAGTGCAGGGTCCTGCACCTGGGGAGGAATAACCCCAGGCACCAGGACAGATTAGGGGTCGACCTGCTGGAAAGCAGCTCCACGGAGAGGGACCTGGGAGTCCTGGTTGACAACAAGTTAACCATGAGTGAGCAGTGTGCCCTCGTGGCCAAGAAGGCCAATGGGATCCTGGCTGCATCAGAAGGATGTTGCCAGCAGGTCAAGGGAGGGGATCCTGCCCCTCTCCTCAGCTCTGGTGAGGCCGCACCTGGAGTATTGGGGTCAGTTCTGGGCACCCCAGTATAAGAGGGATGTGGAGCTTCTCGAGAGGGTCCAGTGGAGGGCAATAAGGATAATTAAAAGACTGGAACATCTCTCCTATGAGGAAATACTGAGTGAGCTGGGCCTGTTTTCTCTGGAGAAGAGAAGGTTGAGAGGGGAGATGATTAATATGTATAAAAACCTGAGGGGAGAATGTAGGGAGGAAGGGGCCAAGCTCTTCTGGGTGGTGGCCAGTGACAGGACAAGGGGCAATGGGTACAAACTGAAACCCAGGCAGTTCCATCTCCATGTGAGGAGGAACTTCTTCACTGTGAGGGTGCCAGAGCCCTGGCACAGGCTGCCCAGRGAGGCTGTGGAGTCTCCTTCTCTGGAGGTCTTCAAACCCACCTGGATGCCGCCCTGTGCCCCATGCTCTGGGTGTCCCTGCTGGAGCAGGGGGTTGGACTAGATGATCTCGTCAACCATTCTGTGGTTTTATGAAGATAAGAAAACAAACATGATTGATACCAAACACACATTTTTCTTGTAGCTAATGAGTGGTAAGGTCCTGTATGACTGAGTAGCCAGGTAATCATAATTAAAAAAAATGGAATTTTCCAGGATTTGATCCTGACCACAGTTCTCTAAGAAGTGTAGCTTGTTACCATTCCGTAATCATAACTAGAAAACTTCAAATCTTTTATGATAACTTTCCTTCAGAAAATATGTTCTACCTTCCTAATTTAAGGTATCTATTTTCTGAATTTTCTCCATGTAAGTTCTGTTTTATATTTATTTTTCCTTAAGTTTAACCGTATATTGCTCTTCATCTCAATTTTTCCTTCTGAAATGTTATTTCACCTTTATCAGTGAGTTGCATTCCATATTCTGCTTTGCAAGTATTGAGGAGAATGAAAGAAACCGTCTCAAATTGTTTTTGAAGCTGTAGTTTTGTATTTAAAGTATACTGTTACATGTTACATTTTTGTTGTCTGATTTTGTTTCAAAAGACATGAAAAAGCAAGTAATGTGAAGTTAGTATCTATTTCATAATTTCTCTGAGGGCATTCAAGGAAGTGAAAAGGTGTGCCGGGAAACACATGATGCATCCTGTACAAAATAAAAATATACTCTAAGATGTCTATTTTTTTGTGGCTAGAAGATTTAAGAATATTGGAACGTAATTTTAAGATATCCTACAAATGTCTCTGGTCCATGCTTTTTCTGAACTGTTCGAGTGATCCTAGCAGCACCCAGAGACTATTTGCTGCTTTTCTGAAGAGATTACAAACAAAAATCTGTAAGAGGCCACATCCCTTTGAGAGATGCTTTGACCTTCCTCAAAAGAGAAGGCTTTTCTCTCCTTTCCAACCTGTGCTCCTAATGCACTCACAAGAATATTTGTGTTCCTTTTCTTGGGTTTCTAGCACTGGAGGGTTGTAATTAAACTGTCATTCTGGAATGCAATGGGAACCTCTGCATGCTAGTGAGATATTTAAAACTCAAATTCACCTAAGCAACCTTCTTGTGTGAACTTCATATTTGAGGGTTTTTTTGTCGTATTCTCTTATTACGAATCATGTTTCCTGTTTCTATACTCCTAAAGGTGAATAAGTCATATCAAAGCTCAAGAGGAACAGCTATCCCCCATTCATACATTCTTTCATTTCTTCTGGTGCCGTATTTGATGTTTTAGAAGTCTGAGAAAACATTTTGCCTTGCTGAGGCAGTTTTGGCTAGCTGTATTAGAACGGACGTGACATCTTGGAGCTATTTGGGACTGCTTTGTGAGCAGGCACATAAACTGATAGAAGTTTCTCATATTTTTGTAGTCTGTGAGGCTTTTGCGTTGTCTTGAGGAATATTTTGGCAGCAACGCAGCTAGCTTGCTCTCCCCATGTATTCTTTCTTTCCTTGGTTGATTTATCTGCTTTCTTTTCTGTTATCAGGAAGACCACGAAAGTTGTGGTTCCAGCTCGACGAACCGCAGTGCCACGGAGAGCATGAAATGGGCGGTGAAACCCCGCCGGGTTCAGCACTCTGCTCCCCCCGACCCCGATTTGCCTCCAGGTAAACCATAAGGTTAAGAGTGGGATTGTCTTTGAGTGATGGTAGAAAATGCTGGTTTTATTCTGAGGACCAGAATTTTTAAGCTAGACTTTTATGTCTCCATTTAAATGGTTTGGCATTTTAAATTTTTAACTTTAAAATTAAGACTTTTAAAATTAATCTATAAATATGTTACTGTTTTGACAGGCTTGGCAGGCAAAAGGGTATATTCAGTTTAGAAATCCCACAGCCCTAAACTGTCAGAATTATGACTATCACTGCTTCGTTGGATTCCTTGTTTATATAAACAAAGCTCTAAAACATTTCCAGGTTTTGTTTTAGTATAGTTACAAGCCTGTCAGAATAGAAGGATGAGTTCAAATAGTATTTATTCTGTTAGAGCTGGACTTAGAGGGCTCCAAAATAGCATAAAATAAAGCAAGATGAGTTATGRTAAGAAATGTGTTATATTTTGTACGTTTAAGTTATTTAATATTACTTTTTAAACCTACAAATATACCTAATTGGAATCAGAATATTCTACAATTGGTATCAGAAATGACCTTTAGTGTCTAATAAAATAAGATGTTGTTAAATGTTTTGAATGATGGATTAAAGAAAAACACACGGTGTAGTGTGAGTCAAGTATTTAAATTCACAGTTGTGGTATTGAAGACAATCATATATTAAATGGTATGCTATAAGGTGGTTTTGATATTTGAGTGTGAAAGAAGGAAGAATAACTAGGAAAAGAGAATAGAATGGAAGAAGCCACCTGACTTGGTTCCTACTGACCATGCAACTTTTTGAATTTTGTAAAAATATATTTAAAATTCCTATTATAAATCTATTTTAAGGTAAATTTCAGAGAACTACCCTCTAATCCTGTGGACCTGTACCATTTTTAATTGTCTCCTTTCAGAACAGTTACAAAACTAGACCTTCATCATAKGTAGTAGATGTATTTTTTAGATAGAATATGAGTGATGTTATAAATTCTTATATACACAGAAGTTTAAAGCKTTTCCAGCACAAATTAGCTTCATAGTTACATTTGGTCTACAGAAAAGATATGAATATGGATAGTATATAATCTCTTTACTGTACTGTTAAACATGACTGTTTACTGCCTGTTGGGAATTCAGGCAAGATCAGTTTTCCAATCACATTTAATTGGAACGGATTTAAATAGATTTCTTCCCAGCAGGGTTCTGTGCAGGTGCTCACTGTTTTGCTTGGTGACAGAAGCTCATTTTGTTACACTTCACAGGGCTCTTGTTGAGCGTGATGGGGATATATGAGGGTTTACATTGAAGGAATACTGAAAATGTTTTTTTTTTTTTTATATAAGTTAGTTGAGAAGGTATGTGAGCATCATGTACTCCCACTTAAATAGTGTGCTGATGGCTGGAGTATTCGTCTTCTCATACCTATATGTAAATGCCTTTCAATTAAAAAGTTACTCTTGCTCTTCAGTGAACTGGAGTCTTGTATTTTAAAATTTGATAGTTAATTTTTTCCACCATTAAACTTCTTTTTTACACTGCACTAATTTCTTCCTACTTAGAATTTGGCTTTTCTAAATTCTCTGCATTTCCAGGAGGYCGGTTGACTTAACTGCAGTCAATGCTCTTTAATACATATCTAAGTCTTGTGATATTGAATATATAAAGAGCAATGACATTTGTTTTGCTACTGAGATAAAATAAAACTTTGAAGTAGTCACTTTAATAATAATTCAGTTTGATAACATGTCCTTATAATAACTACAAATAATTGTGCTCATTTTAGGCTATGTTCAGAGTTTGATTAGACGTGTTGTAAACAATGTCAACATTGTGATCAACAATCTCATATTGAAATATGTGGAGGATGATATTGTTCTCTCAGTCAATATCACATCTGCAGAATGCTATACAGTGGATGAGCTGTGGGATCGAGCTTTTATGGATATATCTGGTGAGCAGATTTTATTATTTTATTATGGCCATCACAGTGGTGTCAATCTTACCTTCCTCTAGAATTAGAAACCTAATAAAATGGCTTTTTATGTTGGAAGTAGAATTTGTGTTTTTGTGAATGAGCAGTTACTTCTTAAGGCTAAGTCTTTGACATATGCTTAATTATTCATAAAGCATAAGCAAACTGTGGAGCAGTAGGTTAATGCTTGCTTAGCTCTTGGGTTGTTGTACACCTCTTAATCTTCCCTCTTGCACCTTAAAAATGGGGAACTCTCGTTTGAGTAGGTCAATTCTCTGAAGCAAACCCTTCAATTGGGTGGTTGAGACATGGGTGGTGTATAAAGGATTGGGGGAAAAAAGGGACCTCTTCTGCTCACTGTTCCATTGAAAGGTACATCTACTTTGTAAATGGGAGCTGAATAGCCTAAATTGTCAGAAGATAAAAACAGCTGTTTTTCAGAGCTGTTTTCTTCTTTTGACAGAGTGAAAACTGAATATGCCTTTTGAATGACACAAAGACTTGGGGATTTTTAAATGGATTTTATAATAAAGAATTTGAGGATTTTTAAATGGAATTATTTTGAACATCTGTTTTTCCCGTCTTTCTTTTCTTGCTCAGTTATCATTACTCTTTGAGACAGATTTGCATTTAAGCATTACTAAGTAAATAACTTCCAAATCAGATTACCTTACGTGGTAGAAGTGTTTTGTACTAATACTTTCGTCTTTTTTCATTATGGATGTTGCAATAGGAATAAGAAATAAGAGGATGTAAGTGTACAATCACTTACAGAATATATTTGTCAAAATGTTAGTTACATTAATCAGTGTTTCTCTGATTTAAATGCAAAATAGTTTCAGGCTCGTCCGTTTTTCTTTTTATTCTTCAAGTAAGATTGTGTACACCTAACTTTTCCCATATGTATTTTATAACCTGTATATGTACTGTTTTCTTTTTAAAGCTACTGATCTGGTACTGAGAAAGGTGATCAACTTTTCTGACTGCACCGTATGTCTTGATAAGAGAAATGCCAGTGGAAAAATTGAATTTTATCAGGAACCTTTGCTCTACAAATGTTCCTTCCGGACTCGTCTGCATTTTACTTATGACAACCTTAACTCCAAAATGCCGTCTATTATTAAAGTAGGTATCCAGATGATAATTTTGGTGAAGAATATTTGTATGTGACCAAATTGATTTTTTTTTCAAATTACACTTTGAAGTTTCCATTAAAATGGAAAAAAATATATTTTCTTGATAGAGAACTTTTCTGTCATGTTTTATTCATGTGATATTATTAGTAATAGCATGCAAGTAAGGAAATCATGAGCTCTAATCTCTTCCATTTTTCATAAAGTTTTAAAAAAGAAATATGATAGTTGTAAGAAAGATGTCCATGAAACATCTGTTGAGGAAAAATACTTTGTTTTAATATGCCAGGGATGAGACACAAAGCATTTTTACTTACCTTGTTGTGAATGTAGTCCAAATCACAGGAATGTTTTGGCTCTGTTTATTGAATCACTTGAAAAGAATTAGCAAGACAAGCCTGGTTATGAATGGGCAGAGGTCCAATATCACACATAATCATCTGGCCCTAAGTGACATCTTTACATTTTGAATAGCTGAACGTTTAAGTGTTAGAGAGACTCAACTACTGATCATCCTCATTTTTTTTTCTGCTCAGACCGGTCATATATGCCAAGTGTGGTGCCTCCACTCTTCCGCTCTCCCCTTGCCTTATCTAATGGTAGAAATGGCAAAAAAAGTGAGCACGTCTAGTGTTTGCATGGTTTCTGTCTAATTAATTGAGAAGCGATGTAAATTGAGATCAAGACTTTATASCAGACTTTCAAAGTTTTAATAAACTCAGTCTTTCCATGAATATACTGCAAAGCAGTCACTTTGGGAAATATTTTGCATACGCATTTCTCGGGATTATCTTGTACAAGTGTCCCCCTTTCATTTAGAAAGCATCACTTGGCTGATTCTTGAGGTGGACAAGGAAACCTGAGCTCTTGGAAGTTAGTAGGCTGAAGACTAATCAGCAATCATGTCCAGTTTTAAAAATCATTTCCTCCATGTGTTGCGCCACCGTAGCCCTTCAATTGCTTGCCAGAAAGCTTTGGGCAAGTGTGGTGATTTTCTTAATATGGCAATGGCCACGTAAATGATTATCTAGGCTAGAATTCTTGCTAGATGCTGGACTCTTGAGTACAAACAGCTGGTAGTTAGTGTGTTTTACTAGGTTCAAATTAGAACTAAATTTTTACAGAAAGAGAATTCTTTCATGTGATGATCTCAATAAGTATGCAAATGTGAAAGAATTGTTTTCTCCTGTTTGTTTTTAAAGTAACTATTAACAATTTTGAAAGTTTGTTTTTTCTTGAGTTTTATAAAGAAGAATTTCTATATTCAGTGGCATAGGATCATATACCTTAAAATATTAAAGGCTATGTGAACTCCAGTGATAGTGAGGAATTGTCTGCAATTTACTGCTTGAGGTCTCTGTGATCTGTGGTGACAATATRACTACTGCAGGGAGACAATAAACTTTCATGTTGAAAAGCCCAAYTATTATTTTTCAAGTTCAGATATACCACGTAGTCCTGTAAAATTTGGAAAAGTTATCTTTGCTAGTGGTTGTTTATTGTTTATCTTTTTTTTAATGCGTGTTTGTTCAAAAATATCTTTTATCTTTTCTTCTTGCATGTCTCGTACTTATGCCTTTTTTYCCCTATTAACATAGTGAGCTAAACTAGGTCACTGAATGCACAAAAAGAAGTACATAGTTTTTTCTGCTGGTTTTAGTGAACACAGCCACCTTACAGATGGGCAGATGAATTCGAGTGACAGTGTAAGAGCAGGGCTAGATCTTCATGGTGGGAATGGGGGTGTTACCACACATGGAAGATGTCCMAAAGTGTGACGACTTAAATTGAGCCACTCCAGAACTGTGCCCCTTGGCTTGTTACTCTCTCTACCAACCCGACAGTGGGAAAGAGTCAAAATGAAGGAACTCAAATAGCCACTCTATTTTGGCTTTCTTTGGAATTTTTRCAGCCTAGAATGCAAGAACTTTTATGAAGTTCTTTATAATAAAAATAAAAAACTTGAATCAGATGCACTGACATGAGTATGTGGCTCTTTTAAGATTTCTCCAGCAACAGCAATAATTAAAAAAAAATATATAGGTAAAATATTTTCTTCTTTTCAATTCTGTTCTGTTTCAATTCTTCTTTTCAACCTGAAGATTTCTTGTATAGCAACCCAAAGAGTGTATGTTTCTGCTGATAGTTTACAGCCCTCTGCATCAAATAGTTGTAGTGGCTTTTGTATTCAGAAATCAGAATTCCCAAACCTAGTGAGTATGACATTGTGCAATTTAAAAGTTGGCTTTGATGAGGACAGTGCTTTATCATTTGCATCTGTTTTTTTTTATATTGCAGATTCATACATTAGTTGAAAGTTTGAAACTTTCAATCTCTGATCAGCAGCTTCCTATGTTTATACGCATAATGCAGCTTGGGATTGCTCTTTACTATGGAGAAATTGGCAACTTCAAAGATGTAGAAAACGAAGAGTTGATTTGCCACACTAAGGATATGATGGGAAACATCACAGGTAAGTATAGTTCTTTGACTTGTTGAAAAAACCTCTTTATTTTCTTTGTTTTTTACAAATATAAATTGCCAAGGCTAACTACTGCAGTGTGCCCTGGTAGTCAGTAATTTTTATGGAGAGTGTTAATTGCACAAGGTAAGTATGTAATAGTCTCACATCTTTTTTGTATTGTTCTGAAAAAAAATGCTTTATTCTTTTTTGAGTTATTCTGATGGTTTTCAGTAAATTAAGGTTAAACATTATCTGTGTGGAACATTTTCTGTGTGGTAACTCATGGTGAGTCATTTGGACACAGTCTTTTGCAGAGCATCACATTCTCTTTGTATTTATGTGGTGGCTTCAGCTGCTACCTCCCAACTATTACTAAGACTGAGACAGCCACTCCTTAATGTGTTTTTAGCCGTGAACCTTTTACTACATCCTCAATTTCATGTGGACTTATTAGGACTTCCCAGTTTTGATCTAAATTTTTTTCTTTTGTCATACATTTCAGTACTGAAACTTTGTAAGATGAATATTGTTACCAATTCACAGAGTCATAAGAAAGATAAAGAGATGCTTGGTATATATTAAAACCTAAGAGAGAGCAAATTTTGGAGTATACATTAGATCTTACCTATTTTTCTGGATTTTCACCTAGATCTAAAATAKAAATTGCACATTCAGGATTTGGGCAATCAGAATTTTCATGCCCTTTTTTTTTTTTTTTTAAATAAATGTTTGGAGAAAGAGTTTTACTTGTCAAAATGGGAAACTTATTACAGGTATCCATGCCAATTCTGTCTCCTCAAGACATTAGTTTGGCATATCTTGCTAAAAGTGAATTTGAGTCTGAGGGAGGAGGAGATATTTACCGCATAGTCAGGAGTATTCCAGGATGATTTCTTGAAAATTCTTGGAATTATACATGAAGGTGATGTGGCAGTTTAAAGTACCTTTATAGTATTACAGCAGAGACATTTAGTATAAAATAATTAATTCATTTGTTCTAAGACAAATGTTAATTTAAATGGCTTAAAATAGAAAGATTCTAAGATTATTTTTGGATGATATATTGATAATCTCTGGTTTCAGAGAAATAATGCATTTTTGGAAAGCAAGAATAGAGGTTTTTTTGACAAAAATCTCTAGAGGTCCCTCTAGATCTCTAAAGGCCCCTCTGATATTTAAACATTTACGTAGTAAATACAAACACAAGATCAAACTGTGACTCGTACCAAATGTCTTTCGAAGATTCTATCAGATGACTGTTGCGGGTTCACAGAATCACAGGATGATGTGATTCTGTTGGGTTGGATCCAACCCAACCATGGTTGAGGTTGGAAGGCACCTCTAGAGATCATCTAGTCCAACCCTCTGCTCCAGCAGGGACACCCAGAGCACGGGGCACAGGGCGGCATCCAGGCGGGTTTGGAGACCTCCAGAGAAGGAGACTCCACAGCCTCCCTGGGCAGCCTGTGCCAGGGCTCTGTTACCCTCACAGTGAAGAAGTTCTTCCTCACGTGCAGATGGAACTGCCTGKGTTTCAAATTGTACCCATTGTCCCTTGTCCTATAAGTGGCCACCACCCAGAAGAGTTTGGCCCCTCCCTCTTTACATCTTCCGCTCAGGTATTTGTACATGTGCTACAAACTCAAGAAATTGTAAAGAGTTGATCTTCCAGCTTACAAAGAAATATATTCCTTTTCTATTTACKTATTTCTGCACTTTGTGTAATGCAATGTCAGTGGTGTTCCCCTGAATGTGCAATACGGAATCCTACAATAACTCTGAAGTAACTGATACCCTTTTGCAGTCTCATATGACGGGGAGTGAATCCAGACAGCCTAAAATATCACCAGTCTGTTTGTACAGGCACATCACCTTCTGGGATCCTGACGGATCAATGGAGGAAACTCTATATATGACCTTTAATTTGGGTGGGTTAGGGAGGCATTTGGTTCACTGACTCACAGGAGCATACTCAGTTTTTGCAGAATGTAGATAAACCTGTATGTTTGACTATTGCAAAAACTGCCTTTTAAATAAAGAATTTTTCAACCTTGTTCTTGTTCTTGTTTTTTTTTTTTTTTTTTTTTTTTTTGTGGAGAGGAGGCAGGGAGGAAGGAGTTGTGCTTTGTCTAAAATTTACTTGTTATGGTTTTGAAAACAAAGCATTTTTTTCATATTTTAAAATTAAAAAATGAAATGTAATATGCCCTCATATAGTAGCATTTTGTATGAAACTTCAGAAGGAATTAGTGAAAGAAGACTCAATCTGACTGTAACATGAGGCATAGCTGACAAATTCTGGGGTCACTGCAGATGTACCATCTTAAAATTGTTATAAAGATCGTTATTTTTTTGAAGGAAACTGGGAAAAAAAGCAACCAGAAATATTTGTAGCATATGTAGAAATTTTGAGTTTTGAATATATCTTTTATCACTAGGAAGGTAAGTATCAGTGAATGATGTGTATTTGTCCTAGGTAAACTTCTAAATCCACCAATATTCCATAGTAAATGAATTTTCCAGTGTAGCTGATTGGATATTTTCCTTGTTATTTTCTTTCCACAGGTACAGAGGATGAAGCAAGCTCAATAATACAATATCCTACCCAGTATATTAATCAAGAACCTTATATGCATCAAGATGATGACCAGCAACAAGGATGGGTGTCTTGGGCTTGGTCCTTTGTTCCTGCTATTGTGAGCTATGATGATGAAGAGAACAATTCCAGTGGAATGGATGATGGAACAACATTACAGCAGCAGAAATCACAAGCCCAGAAGGATCCTATTATTTCCATTGGGTTTTATTGTACAAAGGCAACTGTGACTTTTAAGGTAAATACTTCTCTGCATTGCATAAGATTTAATTAGTTTGTTGAATGTGAAGTTTATGTAAATACCTGTATTTATAAATGCTTGTCTAATGAGTGATTCCAGACAGGGAGTGTTACGCTGGTGAATAATAAAAAATATGAATGTTGAAAGTTCAATTTATATCATAATGTGCTGTTAATTACAATGTGAGGATGTTCTGTATTTGAGGCAGAATTTATTGAGTGCAAGCATTTTACTTTAAAGGAAAATCACTTCAGTAAGAATATATTTTGAGGGAAAAGAAACTTTAAAAGTTTTAATGTGAATATTTATTGTAATTCTCTGTCCATTCAATGTTCATCTAAATTGAGTTAGTACAACTCAATGTCTTATTCAAGTTCCATGTATTCTCTGCTGAAAATATTCAAATTTCTTAGCACATACATAGTTTACAGCTCAATATATATGTAGATTTTATTTCCTTCCATACATTTTCAAGCCGTCAAAAATAACTTCAACATGAACAAGTTAAATTCAAATTTGCCTAGCATTCATTTACTAGCAGTATCAAGCTAAAGCACTTTTACAGAGAAATAGACATTGAGTTGTACTAACTAATAGAGAATAAGGTTCAGTGAGTAATTTTAATGTATTCAATAAAGTACTTTTAATGTATGCCAAATGTTCTGCAGGCAGTTTTTATACATAATAGGAAGCTGCTCTGAGTTTTACAATAGGAAGCTGCTCTGAGTTTTACAATTAAAAATATACTGAATATAGTATATAAATAAAAAAAAACTGAGGGATTTTCCTTTTTTTGTTTTTTTGGGGGGTTTGGTTTTGTCCTTGAGGCTTGTGCATGACCTGTAATACTGATGCTGCTGCCTGTGCCTGCCCCGTCTCCTTGGCTTGTGGCCTGTGTCAAAGYTGGTGTCTTGGGTGCCCAGGTAGTTACTCCTCTGAGCTCTCATGCCGTGGTGATGAAGCAGAGCATTTAGCTGCTCTACAGCTGGCAGAAAGGACGAGGCAGGTGGCTTTGGGAGCTGCAGGGTCCCGTAGGAATTGGGAAACCCGTAGGATGTGTTAGAACGTGAGTCTGCTGTCAAATGTGACAGCAAAATTGGAGGATGTGAGTGTAGTTAAGCACTTGGTCATGCTCCTCGGTCATGAAGYGGGTCTGCTTCAGCCTGTGTTTAAAAGACAAGAACAAACTAAAAAAAAGATGCAAAAAACCCATCCCTCTCTTGATGAACAAAACCAAACCAAACAAACAACAAAAAAAGTATTTCCATTTTAGCTGTGTTAATTCTTGGCCAATTAAACATGATAAATACATAATTTTAGCATACTTGAGAGTATTTAATTATATCTCTGAATGTCGTTTCATTTAAAAAGTATACCAGAATCTCAAAATCGTCTTTTGTTATGTTTCAGCATCTTTATTTTGTGTTCTTTGTACAATAATAGTTTTCTGCATAGTTTCCTTATGTGAGAAATATTATTAAAATAATAAGAACTAATTTCTGAAAGGAACTTACTTAACTGGGCCTTCCTAATGTGTCTTTGGCAAGCCGATGCTTTTTATACTAGAAAGTAATTAAAAACTACTTAAAACAAAGCATCTTATTTAAAAAAARAATCAGAATGTAAAGTGATGTGTAAGACTAACATGGTGACAGTTAAGAGGAAAACAGAATTCATTGTTCTGCTTGCATGCAAAGAATGTATGGAATTAATTTGTGGTTCATATTTTGGTTAAAAAATAAGGTCAAGTTTCTGCATTAGCATTCTGAACAGTTGATATCATTCCAGCTTAAAAATCATGCCAAATTAAATGTAGCATTTTCTAATAATGCTGAAAATAATTCTTGTAATGTCTGAATTCTTTTAATCAATTAATTGCTTTTCCTCTACGGTAATTGCACACAGCTGAAGAGTGATCAGTGACTTTTTTTTAATCCAATTATGTTGAACGTTAGGATTACAAAATTTTACTTTGAAACAACACCATGTGTATCCACTCGTGGAAATAATAATGACAGCTTGCAGATTTTTTTTAAGTAAAAATTAGAATTTGTATTATTTAAGCTACTCGGCATAAACAAAATTAAATCTTCTTTAATTCAAACCATGAATACTTTAGTGTTTTGTGCCTCTTTCTTTTGTTTCTTCAGTCTGTAATATGCTTTTCAGCCACAGTGTGTGTTTCGCTACTCTATATTTTTACCTTTAAATTAGTTGTATAGGAAATATGAATGCATGTTTCTGTCAAGTAAAAAAGAAAACAAAAAAAATGTGGTTGCAACTCATAATATTCTGTTGATATTGTTTTGGTATTTAAATGTTTGGTGCGTGTGATACATAATTTTATGGATTTTGACAGCAAATGATAAAATCACTTGATACTATGTTAATACAGCTGTGTATCTGTTTCATCTTTTCACATAGCTTCTCTTTGGATAAACTGAAAATACTGTAGTGCATTTGAAACTTTTTTATGGCATGCTTGAGATTAAATAGGCATATTCATCTGGAAGTTAAATATATGAACTTCTAAGATGGATAATGTGTTACAGCTGTTTTACTGCACCTGTTTCCTGCTTATTAGTAAATTTTGGCCCATAGTATAATGTCTTCATCAGTTCTGTATCTTAATGATATTACTGCTGTTAAATGCTTATGTTGACTTACGCAAGGTATTTTTCATATTGTTTCCTAGCTCACTGAAATGCAAGCTGAAAGTAGTTACTATAGCCCTCAGAAAGTAAAATCCAAAGAAGTTATATGCTGGGAACAAGAAGGAACCACTGTTGAGGTAATTATTCAGTAAGAGGGATAAAAATATATTTGTTAATTTGTTGTAAATGCTGTAGCAAATATATATAAAAAAGTTACTAAGACTAAAAATAATTTAAATGATTTTGTTGTTGCTATTTTTGATAGGAACATACCAAAAATATTTTTGTGTTTATGGTAGTGATGATACATAAGATATAGAGATTATTTCAGTGAAAGAACATAGTACCACTGATAAAGCAAAAACTTAGTAATATATTTGATTAATCTGTTGTTTATTAAAGTATTAAATATATAAAAATAAACATGTAACAGTTCACTTTTTTTTTCATCTTTTCTATTTCTACTGGTATTGAATTCTTCAGCATATGACTTTTCTCCCCCACTAGGTCCTTATGAAAGGTGAACTTTTCTTCGATTGCCAAATAGGTTTTGTTGGTTGTCAGGCTATGTGCCTTAAAGGAATTATGGGAATTAAGGACTTTGAAGAGAACATGAACAGGAGCGATGAAGTGAGTATACTGAAATACCAGGTGCCTTGTTGATTACAGAAATACTGATTTGCTTTGTTAAAATGTTGATTACAAAAATTGGGAAAGCTTCTGCTACCAGTTCTTATC